GCTGGCAGGGTAACTCACGCCCTTGTGGCTGCAGCCTGTGGAGGGTTGGTGTGACTCCCCAAGTACAGCCACTGCCAGGCTGGCGGGAGAGAAGAGATGTGTCTAGGGGAAGCTTTGTCCTGTTGTCCCCCAAAACTGGCCAGTTATTGGGGCCAGAATAAGCAGGAAGTTTGTGGGCAGCAGTGGGAAAAGAAGGGAGTGGGGTTCTCAAGTGGATGTGGCAATGGAAGAACAGGAATTTAGGAACATGTTAGGGTGAGCACCTTCCTCCATTTGCAGGGCTTCCACATGAGTGTAGTTGCCCAGAAATAGGTGCAAGCAAGCCTTGGCCTCCAGCTTTCTCAGCTGAGGAAGCCTGGTAAAGAGATGTTTTGTAGTGGCAAGTGAACTAGAGGAGATTGGGTAAAGAAGATGAGAAATTCTTAATCATTTTGACTCCTCCACTCAAGGTTGTCAATAAAACTACTACATCATTCCTCTCTGAGGATGCTTATTTTGGAGCAGTGTCTCTTTAGTACTACCTTATACAGGATAACCTTTACCACTCACACTCCTGCCCTCCTAACTAAGGCATTTGGGCACAGTACACAGGATGTCACCCAGTGTTTGGAAGCCAGCATGTAAGAAACACTCATCTATTTCCAAAATTATGCTTAGTAAGGTGCACAAAAGCACATTAGGCTATTTTATTCTTGCCTGTGTTCTACTGGTTTCTGCAGACACATGTAACCCATTTATGCAAAGAGAAGTTGTGGAAACACTGGTTTTCTGCAGCTTACGTTGCTCCAGAAAACCTTGCAGCAGCTTGTTCAACTTGGGGTGGGGGGAAATCCACTGTCTTCCATTCCAGCTTCTGTGAGGGAAGACATTTCTACTAGAAAAGTCTAATACTAGAAAAGAAAAGGTGTATATTTCCTTATGCTTTGAAAGAAACTATCATTACTATTTCCAGATAAGTTGTAAGCCATATTTTTAGCCTGTTTTCTCTTATTAGTGCAAGACTAAATTGCTGTGACCACAACTACTTACGGTATGTATCATCATGTGGCATCTTTCATTACAACAACCTAAAAAAAAGAAAAAAAAAATCTAAGCAAATGACCCAAGTTAGTGGCTGTGCAGACATATAAAGCATTTTATTCAAGACCACAGTGCCAAAAATGTAGTTGATTGGTCTCACGGTAAAGTGGTTTAAGTTCAGTACATAACAAAACCCCACTGATTTATGAGTGGGCAGTGAAGTTTTAAATGCATGGGCAGACCCTTAAGGACTGTTCATGCTAAACTGCTTTGTGCTACTGCCTCGGACTAGCACTCAGTTCTTTGATGTGCTTGTTTATAAAATTGCACTTTGCACACAGCCTACTGCATGGTATTTTTAAAAGGTCCTGGAGCTCTCTGCAGTGCCACTACCTGAATAGAAAATGCTACCTTCAGCATGAAAAATTAATACAATGTGGGCTGAAACACAGTAAAACTGCTTAATATCAATGGTCTTTGGTCTGTATGTTGAAATGCTTTAATATGAAATGTGTCCTGCTCTACTGGTGAACAATTACTACATTTTCTTCTTGGCACCATTCAGTTGTCTCTCATAGCTCCTTGGGAGATTGTGGTGGTTTAATTGTTGCAGAATAAATGCTGTTGACCAGGTTATATGGATCTTTAACAAAAATTTTCTCCAATCTCTTCTTACTCTCACCATGTTCCAGAACTGCTGTGTCCTAGTGCTGCCTCTATCACTGATGGCTTGATGCCAGTGAGAGCTGTACATCTCCATAATGAACAGGTTAAGCAGCATCTTACATTTCTTGTATATACTAAGCTACATATGATTGTCAGATACAGGAATTCATCTTCTCAAGTTGCAGAAAATAATTTATTGCTTTGGAGGACGTAGGGGTCTTTGGGTGCACATCCTGTGAAACTAAGATATTTTTTGCTCAGAGTTACTGCACCTTTTTATTCTCTTTATTTTTTAGCAAAGAAGAGCAAATGTACTAATTGTGCTGATCCTTAGATCCACTAAGATGGTAGGAATTTCCCATTAGGAGTTCTGGCCTTAGTTGCTGTTCTTACTTCAAAGAACAACCCTGGTACACACACACACAGGCTGATGCAACAGAACTGGAGCTCAGTCCAGATAAAAGAGTACAAGTTGCTGATGAGTTGGGTGTCTTGGGGAAGCCAATGCAGAAGGGACAGGACATGGTCAGGAGTGCCAGAGGGGACAGGGGCAGCAGCTCAGGATCCCAGGCTGTGCCTACTCTTCATGCATCTCCCATGGCACAGGGTTCCTAAGTTGCAATGATCAACTGACAGTTGCCAGCTGATTTTTAAGAAAATGAAAAATCTGAAAAAAATTATGGATCTATCCCCCATGTTGGTGAACAGCATCCAGGGCTACAATTGGAATTGCCAGTTACTCCACTAGTTCCTTTACGCAGTAGCTCCAGTGTGATTGAAACCAGGAGGGGATCCTTGAAGCTCTTTGTGGTGGATTGTAGAGCAAAAAATCAAGAAATATTTAAAACAATCCCATTATGAATATCTTGGACATGATGTACAGAAAATTTCATGTCTGTCAGAGTTACTAAAGTAGGATTTTCAGGTTCCCTGGGGATTCCTGCTCTTTTAGAAAGGTTCTGTCCGTCCCATCTTCACAGTATCCTGCTTCATTTCCTAGTAGGTAAAAAATTAGGAAGTTTCACGGTACTCTGGAGTTGAGACTTTTGGCCCTTCTTCTGCATTTTCCAGTGGGAAGGGGAAGCTGAGGGACCACACAGCAAGTCATCCAGTCGCTGCAATGCGTGTTTTAGTCTCTGGAGCATCTTAATGTACTTGCAGTGAGATGCGCCTTAGTCACAATCAGTTTATCTGCCTAAGTGTTCAGCTTCTCAGAGATGTTTTCCAACCAGTCCTGCCTTCTGTCCTGCTGTAACTAAACCCATAACAGTAGTTTAATTAAACTATGGGTCTTTTGTGCATAGTAATTTTTCTCTAAGGATCATGCAAAATCAAGATAGTTGGAAGATGGATGTGCTTCATATTGTTGGAAGAGCTGAAATTGAAGATTCACTCTAAAAGAGAGACTTTTTGAACACCCAGAAGAAAATCGTAGAATCACAGGATCAGCCAGGTTGGAAAAGACCTCCAGGATCATTGAGTCCAGCCCTTGATTCAACACTGCCGTGGTTACTAGACCATGGCACTGAGTGCCACATCCAATCTCATCTTAAAAACCTCCAGGGGTGGTGAATCCACCACTTCCCTGGGCAGCCCATTCCAGTGTCTGATTTCTTTCTCTGTAAAAAATTTCTTCCTGATATCCAACCTAAACCTCCCCTGGGAGAGCTTAAGACTTTAAATCTCGTGTCGTGGAGGTAAGAAAAGGAAGTTAGAGACTGGTACCAAAGTCAAAGCAGAAAAACAAGAACGGGGAAAGATCTGATTTAAATATTACAGTAGTAGCGTAGTCTTAGAATAGATTTTGTCAAGAAAGAGATGTGGACAGTGAGTGAGTGTAGTAACACAGAGAAGAAAAAAAAAAGAGCTAATTATTAAATTTCTTCAAATATTTATTCATCATACCAAATCCAGGCACTTCTCTTTCAGTTTTCTGGCATCTGAAATAAATATTGGTATTCTGGCTTCCCCAATTAAATATTGCATAATTTCATAAATACTGCTACACACATCTTCCTGGTTTTGTTCTTTCTTTTCTCTCTCCTATTACAGTATTTTTGACAGATTTCCACTTCTTTCATTAGCAAAATATTTTCACAGAACAGAATACATACACATGGGTAAATACTGATTTTGGAGTTTAGTGACTGTTAAAATTTACAATTACTGAATAACAGCTTTGGCTTCAAATTTGTTTAGGATCTCTATGCTTCTCAGTACAACTAATCTTCATTATTTACCATGGGGTTCAGTATTAATATTTAATTTCTGTTAATTAATTTTATCATTTTTAACATACTATTTAATTCTATAATTGTATTACTTTTCAGGCACACACACAGATTTAGTGTGAAAATGGTTCTTGTGAAATCAGAAAAATATATTGTATCTTCTAAATTTCTTTTTAAAAAAGAATGAAGCAGAAAGTATTTATGTGTATTTGCTTTGCCAAAGTGGGATATCATATGCAGTACTGCACACAGAAGTTTGAATTAACATAATTGCTGAGATATAGCTACATTATTTCTCATGTGCTTTAAAGCTTTGCATTTAGTTACATCTTCTGATGCTTCAGCGAGTGCTTCAACTCATCAAATGATTGATGGATGTGTTTGTAAAGGCTTGGATGGTCACTTTATAAAAAATTGTAAACCCACTTGTACTTAATGAGGTCAGTGAACCAATCAGAAAAGAAATATATAATTCTGTAGTGTGAGTCTGTAAGCAAGATACTTCTTAGGCTTTTGAAGTTTAATGAAGCAGCTACTCAGCTGCTGAATATTCTTGTCAAACAGAGTCAGTATAGATTTTAAAACTAAAATGTTGCTGAATATTGTGGTCTCCTTGGAGAGTCCCTGGCTCTTATTCCCTTTAAAAACTCTGAATCTTTTATATGTTAATGGTTTTGAAATCAGCCATTTGCTTCCTTTCCATTGTAAATGAGGCCCGGAGTCTGATTTCCTTCCCCATTGTCTGAACATTGTATCCCCATCAGCTGCCTCAGTTCACTCTCTGGGGTATGCATGATCTGAAAATAGCTAAAATAATCCTGTAAAACAAACATTTTGCGAAGCATTTCCCCATTTTAGATGAATTTCTAAGAATATGAGTCCCTATGTGAAAATTTGCATGGTACAACCGCAATACTGGTACTACACTGTAGTGTGACTGTGGTATTCAATGTAAAATGTGGTTTTTTGAGGGTTTAAATTCTGTACAACATGTGAATATCTAGCTGTAACTTGCAAAGTTTACATATGACTGTAGCTGAGAGTCTCAAGGCTTGCTAGGAAGTCTTTTTCTCCCTTTTGCAGAGGGATTAACCCACCCTGTGAACATGCTGACCTGAAGAGGAATCCTGCAGGCACGCAGCCTGTGGAACCACTCAGCCTCCCCTTGCCCAGCCAGGAGCATCCTATCCAAGGTATCAGGAATTCATATTCTCAGACTCTTTGCAAACAGCATAACACGTCCTTTCCAATTACCACAGCTGAAAGTGCCATACAAAACACACTTTAAAGAGCAAAGCAGAGAAGAAACATACTAGCTAGCTGTGATTTCTACCTCACCTTGTGGTATAAATTACTACCGGGTGCAGGCTGTGATTAAGCAGGTCTGTGTGACTAAAGCCCTGCACAGGATTAATTGCCAGGTCTGTGCTGGGCTTTGGGCTGATGATAGAAGACACTAAGCAGCAGTGGAGTGTTTTCAAAGGGGATTTGAAACCCATCAGTCATTTTCTCCTCCAATACATAACTTTTGCAATTGGTGGACTGTAGCAGCCTTTAAACTGAGAAGGGCACAAAATGAAGATTGTATAGTCCTTTGAAATGCTTCAAAGGAGGGGGAGTGACAAATGGTTCCATCTTTCCATTTATCACTTGTGACCTTAGGAGTCTGCAGAGGGAAAGAAAAAGCAGCACAAAGCTCTGTCTTGCTGCGTCTGAGAGGTACACCCTGTTTTTCAGTGTCACATAATGTTTTAAGCTGCCAAGCGGGCTTCAGGAGTCTGAGATGGGGAACCCGGAATGTTTCCACTCACAGGGGTGGCAGACAGGGATTAATGTGCCCCTTACCCCCCACACCACCACCCTGTTCTCCCTCTTGCCCAGATGGGGCCCCGCTGCCCAGCGCCATGAGGACAAGCCGCTGCAGTCACCTGCCAGGAGTGCCACCGGAGCACCCACCGGCTCCTGAGGGCAAGGCCCTGCCTGGTGGCAGCGGCCCCCCAGCCAGCAGCTGCCCTCAGTATGTCATGCAAGTGTCATCCAAAGACGGGCAGCTGCTCTCCTCTGTTGTGAGGACGCTTGTGACACAGAGGTATGTGGGGACAGTGGGTTGGGGTGGGCCCTTCCCTACTGGATGCACACTGCTTCTGCAAACCCCGTGGGAGCCTGAAGGAGAGATGTGGTGCTGTGCTTCATGAAACAGTGCACTTGTCATTGAACCCTCATTCTAGTATTGTCACTGAGGGGATAAATCAAACTCTATTTTTTTTTTACTATTAGAAAGCAGGCGTTAATTTATTCACAGCGCTGCGCACGCATGGGGTTGCTCCTCATGCACACACACTTTTCACTATTCGTACATTCTAGCAAACAGAGAAACTAATGTTCATTGTCTATAAATTGCATCATTCTTTTCATTAATTAGTATTCTAACATTTACTGCTTTCTCACTTAGGCTAATCAATCTGCATTTTCAGTCTTTTTTATCATCTTTTTATTCCCAGATACAGAGTGTTTCAGTACAACTGCTGAATTGTCTTTGTTAGTTTCTTTTTTACCTCAAAATGTCCTTGTGGTCTATAAATCCTGCGATCCTCATGTCCAGTATATCTCTCTCAGCCTTTGTTCGTTGAAGCAAAACCTAAAGTTTCAGTGATTTTCCCAAACTGTGTTCTCACAACGGTAGCTTATGACAAACCCTGCAAAACGCTGGTTACAGTGGGCATACACACTGCTTATGGTTAATTAAAACAATTAATTAGAAAAGTTAATTAAAATAATTAATTGGAAAAGTTATATTGCTTCTGACAGCATCATAATGATTATGCTATGTAATGTGGCACATTTCCTCAACCTTTCCCAAGCCAGCGGGATGTTTTGACAGTGGTAGTGACAAAACCTTCATTTCTGAGATTACCTGACTTGGAAACAAAAACTCTCCCTACCACATACACCAGGACCTCAGCCTTGGCAGTCAGGGGAGTTGAGCTGAAGCTGCAGTGAAGAGGCCCCATGTTTCCTCCCGCTGCACCCAGGCACCACCTAAGAACTGCCTTCCTCTTTCCTGAAAGATTCCTCTGTAAAACAGAGCATCTTAAGAGTTAAAATCAGAGTCTTTAGGTTATCAGTGGCAGGAGGAGCATCCTTCTCCCTTTGCATGTTAGCACTTCCCATCAGGAAGGTGGATGGATTGAGGAGAGACAATGCAGAAGAAAAGGCCAGAGGATCACCACTGAAATAAGAGGTGGCACCCTGTACATGAGCAGTGAAGACACACATCACCACTACATAAAAGGTGTCCAATTGAGGCAGATTTAAAACTTCCCTGATGCACTTGGAGATTTCTTCCACCACTGCTCTGTGAAGAGGTGGAAAATACAAAAATGCAGAACACTTGGTCATCTGTCTCCCACCTGCCACTCTGGAGTTTTTCACTTTACACTTTCCATTAGCTCAGCAGCTTGAAATAGTAATTACAGAGCAAAGTACTCAACCTGCAAGTGTTTCCTACACTGCTAATTCGTGATATGCATGATGTACTGACCAGTGATTTTCTCTCCTCTTCCTCCAGCAGCCCCTTCAATGACCGGCCAATCTGCAGGATTTGCCACGAGGGCAGCAGCCATGAGGACCTGCTGTCCCCCTGCGAATGTACAGGGACCCTGGGGACCATTCACCGCAGCTGCCTGGAGCACTGGCTGTCCTTTTCAAACACCAGCTACTGTGAACTCTGTCACTTCAGGTTTGCAGTGGAGCGCAAACCCAGGCCACTGTTGGAGGTCAGTACATGGGGAACATCCGTGAAAGCTCAGCTTTACTGAGAAAATCATGTTTGTTTCATAGGGGCGTCACAAAGCCTTTGCAGCTCCACGGAAGCCACAGTGAGCTGTGAATTTTGGACTTGGCAATCTGAGGGCAGGAGCTCAGGAAAGGGCAGGAATAACAACACCCTCATTTTGAACTGAATCAAAACAAACAAGGAGAACTGGATCAATGGGTTTGCTTCAGTGCAAACCTGAGTAAGGATTTAGGAAATAGTGTGCAGCAAATTCCTAGAATACCAGCCAGCTTGGTTGGGAATGGAAGAGAGGTAAGTAATTGTTTCTGTGGAAAGCAAGGCAAGTGTCAGGATGCAGCATGTTAAATATAGGTCAGGAATTTTTTTTGTTCTTGCTTTTAAGAGGTAACAAACTGAGGAGCCTTAGAAATGTGGTTTCCATGTCAAACCCACAAGAAGGAATTGTTCTTGTATAGTGTCTGGTATGTTTAGCCATTTGTGAGTGACCTTTTGGCCTCCTCTTGCCTATGTACTAGACATAACAGTGAACTGGGCAATTGTTTCTCCCTTATCAATGAAAATTCAGTTTTTGCCAAAAATAGATGTTTTAGCAGCTTCATGAAGTTTTACAGGTTTTAGGGGCTTTTTTGGTCCTCAGGAAAAGAAAAAAACAAAAAAACAAGCAAACAAAAAAACCAACCAACCAACCAACCAAAAAGACAAAACCCAAAGTCACTGTCATGACACTGTTAATGAACTTTGTCCTCCTGTGTACTAATCTGGAAAAACAGAAAGCAAAAATTATGGTTTCTGTTGAATTTAAAAGTGAATTACAATAGTAACATTTGACAAAATTAATGAGAAGCATCTTCTTGTAGTAGTTGGTGACATAGACACTTACAGGCTGAGCTTGGGTTCAGGACAACATATCTGTCCTGTGCATTTTAGTTGTTCTGTAAATTCTATCATAACTGGTTGAAGGATTTGGTACTAAATTTGTCTTTGGTGCTTCTTGCAGGATCCAGCCTCTGCAGGAAAGTTGGTCCCAGTTTAAGAAACGCTGATGTTGAGTGTTCTCAGGCTGTCAGCAACTAAACAACAGAATCTTTACAACTGACCATTCTCACATTTATATGGCAACATCTTTTGGATGTTCAGCTGCTCTGAGCCTGTGCCGAAGAGTTCTTGGTCACAGCTCTGGCACAGGATGGTTTCACTCTGCACTTGCCTTCTGAGAAGAAAGATGAGTGATGCTGAGGCAGTGCAAAGTAAACATTTTAGTTTTAGAGCTCGGCTTCTCCAAGCTATTCCCTTGTGACAGCTCCTTGTGTGGCTCGTGTTGCATAGGTTGGATATGACACTGTTCAGAGCTGATAATGTTTGAAGGAGTCAAAAGCAAAGCTAACATGCCTGGGCTGGGGGAGTCTTGTTGCTTGATAGCTCCCTGATGAAGTGAGACTTCTTTTTGGCCAAAGCAGTGATAAACAATAGCAACAACAGCAGTGATAATTACAGTAATAACGATAAAGCTGCCTTTTGTTTCTCAGCTGAGGACAAATGAGAACTATGTGCAAGAACATTTCTGAAACAGTTAAATGCTTTTATCTTTACTACCTAATATTTTCTGGCTTCTTAAGTACTTACACCCACAATATTTTAGTGCAGTAATCAACAATTGTGTGCAGCTGCAGAAAAGGTCATAAAAAACTACGGTCCTTTGTGATCCTATGAAAGGACTATGTTTTCAGTTTAGAAAGAAACTGAAGATTTATTTTTATAATTTAGTTGCATGTAAGGGACAAATTAAAAAAAGCATAATCAAACTTCTTGATTCCTGCTAGTGTAATTTAAGTTTGTCCTGACAGTTTATACTTATTTAATACATGGTGCTTTGAAATGCAAAGACCTCCCCATGCAAATAATAACAGCAAATCTGAAAGTTCCCAAAGCATGACTAAATCAGATGCAAGTAGCCAGATTCCCTCATCCTCTTTGTCCTGAAAGCACTTCACTGTCAGTCTGTCTGTATTACCTAGAGTGTGAGGTCATGATGAGAGGTTTATCAGGTATAGCAAGTCCATCTCTCACAAAAACTTGCTGTGATGTTTGGGTGAGCGACAAGCCAAAGTGGTCGCCTGCTTTTAACACTGTCATGTGTATAACTTTGCAGTGGGGTATCAAAGTTCTCCTGGTTTAGTGAGATAATTAGTTCTCCAAATACTCCCCTGAACTAGATGTAAATGGTAAATGGTCCTCCTTTCATTGGAGGTGAATGATGTATTTACCAATGCATTTTAGGAAGTCAAGAGGGACTATTATACTCATAAAGTGATTTGTACTTCATAGTCTACAGAAGCTCATCCAATAGCTCCTCAGCAGGCTCTGTCTCATGCAGAGAATACATCCCATTCAGGGATCAGTGACAGGTAGTATAAAAATGTTTGGAGCAATCAGTCATCACATTAATCTTTTGTCCTAGAAATCTTCCATCAAGGAAAAAAATGTATTTCTCACTATTCAAAGATATATTATTCTCCTTTTCAGAGGGGACAAAGAAAGAAAAAAAAAAAAAAAAAAGGAGAAAGAAAAGAGCATAGTATTATGTTTTCTCCCCATCCCTTCACTGAACTGATCACTGCTTCTTAGTGCCTTAGCCATGGGTCTGGAAGAAATTTGTATCAGCTGAAACAAACTGAGATACTTCACTTGCTTTATCCAGAAACGTCATATCTGCTGTTAGTTCTCAGGAGCGGCTGCAGCAGTAGTGAACTTGAAATGAAGTGAGCAGTAAGTGGCTTGGCAGATTGTTCAGCCATATTCCTTCCTCTTTGTGTAAATCATTGTGGAAGTAGTAGAGGATTTCTTGCTGCACATCATAATTGGATAAGAACATAGCATTTCTCCCCCAGGCCCCTCACCGTGTTGCTGGTTTTCCATTAGTTCATTATGAAATGAAAGCATAAAACTTTGCAGTAAGATGTCTTTTTGTTGTTTAGGCAGTTGCTCATGGTCGTACTAAGGATGTGAGGCCATGCACTCAAGCAGGAAGTCTTTAGCTCTGATGCAAGGGACATATCTAAAGCTGTATCCTGCCTCCTACATAGGACACAAAAATGCAAAGAGACCACTTCTGCTTTCTCTTCCTAGCTTACATTATGCGCAGCAGCCTGTTTTTTCCTGGATTTTCTTTACAAGGAAAAGCAAAGGAAAATCATTCATTTTGACTTCCACTTCCTCTTTCATACTTCATACCTTTTCTCCATCAAAAGCTTCTCTCTGGTCAACTGTGTACTTCTCAAGGGAAGTCTTTGCCACAAGACATGTAATTTTTGTCTGGGGGAAAAGCTTATCCCAAGAAATGTACAGTCTGCTAATTTTTTGATGTGCAAAACCCAGAGAGGCAGGAAATGTCAGTACAGTCTGTCAGGCAGGTCCGTCTTCCCAGCATCAAATTTGCAGAGCTCCTTGGTCCACTTCTTTTTTTTAACTCAGATTCTTCTCCCCAGAAGAACTGTTTCCAAACCATGAATCAGGTGGCGACTAACAAGTCCTTCAGCATTCAAAGAAAGCAATTTGTGTGTTTTGCTTCTTGTTGTATTGAATGAAGGAGGTCTGTTACTTGTCCTTTGGCAACTCAAAGCAGCACAGATTTAAATTGCCTTGGTTATGGGTTGAGCTGGCTGGGAACTGTTGTGCTCTCTCCAGCTGACCCTGCTTCTGATGGGACTTCTCAGAGCACTGTGACCCCAAACTTCCTTATTGCCCAGCCACTTGTGAGCTTCTTCTATCGCAGCATCACTGGGGAGACTGGGCTATGTTGTTGTAAAGCAGGAAGAGATGGATTGTGATACACAAAGAGTTTTTTTCATATTACTGAGTCCTTCAGTTCATCTCCCTTCTGGAAGGCACCTGTCAAGAGGTCCCAGACTGAAGCAGCAGAAACTCAGACACAGAAGGAAAGAGAAATCTATAATATGGTTGTTGATGTTCCTTGTGACAACCTGAAAGGATCTCAAAACCAGCACAGTAAAATCAAACTGGTAGTAATTTCAATTAGTGACTTTTATAGACCTTCCTGTTTTATATAAACCTTTTTAATGCAGCCAATCCACAGAAAGAAATCAACTCTAGAAACGTGTGACATTATTCACACAGCTGCTTTTGCTGTTTCAGCATGAAGAATAGGCAAGTTTTATGGAAGTATCATCTTAATTTCAATTTCCATATTGCATCTATGTTGCTTCCACTTGGCTTAGTACAGAAACAGATACAAAACTTGGCAGTACAAATGTATTTATGTGCAATAAAATGTTAGGAAACAGCCAGCCATAATTTAAAAATGGTATAAAGACCTTATGTGACCACATAAGTCAGGCTTGTATTTCTTTTAAGTTACTTACATGTTTTAAACCACCAGGATTTTGTATCTATTGCAAACAAACAGAAAGCACTTAATTAACAATATAAAACTCATAAGCAAAATAGCATGATTAAGAGAAAAAATTAAGTCAGAATCATTATCACAATATTGGGCAGAAATTAACTTCATTTTCCTCCCAATTTGCTGCTGGTAGTAGAGCTCATGTTAGTAAAGAAAAATAAATTAAGAAAAAAATCTAAAACCTACATTTATGCATGAAGTAGTTAAGGTAAGCTTATGTTGTAATTTAAACCTCCCAGAAGCCTTACATTGAAATAAGAATTTATTTCTTGTGCAAGACTTTGAGTAATGCTGTTTCTATCTCTTGGGATTCTTTGTACTTATTTTTCTTCTCCACTGCTCAGTGAAGCAAGTCATTAGCATTAAATTATTGTGATGAAGAGACACCAGATTTGCTGCATGTAGATTTTAAGAGGATCATGCTTAAAGCCAGGAGGAAGATAAATGGTTACTCAGCATAGTCAGCAACAAGGAAAACTCACAAATCAAAGTTTAGAGGAACTGCAGCTGTTCGTAGAGTTTGGGGAGAGATAAGCAGATAGGGCTGGGAGCAGATAATT